AAAAAAAAAAAAAAAGACCTTTATTTAAGAAGTGCCTATTGATACGGAGCGTTTTTTGTACAGAGTGTAATTTTAAAATTTCAGGAATGATCACTGCAGTGTTTTAATGTTTCTCCCATTTTATCTTTTCATGCTTTTTCTAAATACTGTGTATTTCAACTCGTCTCTTCTGTTTGTTTTTTTTTCGTCTCCTTTTATTTATAACCGCTCGCTCTGCTCCTTTTCTTTGCCACCGACTCCTGCCCCTCTGTGGGGGGATTTTGCAGACACTATATGTGAATTTCCCTGTAATGTCTCTTGTTTTCCCCTAAGTGAGGGATGCAAAAAGGAAACAAAATCTTATCTTTGTCTTTCAGATTAAGACTGGGGTCACAAATCGACTCAAACTCAGTGTTTTCTCCATTTCGTTCTTCAGCGGACACCTATAGATGGAACGTAAGGTAGAATATGGAGGTTTTTAAAGTCCCCTTATGAATAAGAATAAAGGTGAGTGTGCAAAAAGCATTCGAGGAAAACAGGAGACATCTTTGTGTAATAATGTAAGTAGATTCACGGTTCAGTATTGTGCAAAACTGCCAGCAAAGTAACCTGATGTAGCATTAAGTGTCAGAGTTCAGAACAGCTTTGTACTGAGATCATGAACTGTTGCGTTTGTATCTGTAGTTCTAAGAAATAAACACGCCTTGTGTTTTAGCTTTGGATGAGATGACTTTCTAAGAGAGACGGAAAAGACTTAATCAGGCAATATGTCGGTTTAGTGAGTTTGAATCGCTGTCTTGTATGATCCTGCCTCATTTGCTGTTTAAGTGGAATTGATTCCCTGTGTTTGTATGGCCTGCTTGAAAAATGTTCACATGAATGACTTGTTGTAAAAGCATGGACCGAGAATGAAACATAACTATGTTTTGTTTAGCTTTTAACACCCCCCTCCCCTCCCTTTACCCTACTATTGACTGTGCCATATGAGCCTGGTTGATATGCCTTTTATTTACATGCCATAAGATAAATTTGCAAAGCTACAGAGAGCAATCAAATACGTTTTCAAGTAGTTTCCCAGTTAACACCGGCCTGTTCCAAAAGATTAACCCGTTGGGTATGCAGTGGTTGCCTTTAAGCTGCATGTGGATTTCTGAACCTGTCCTGAGGGGTTATCTTGATAAAGGAATAAAATGTATTGAAAACAAATTCTCTGAGTTATGACTTGTGTATTAATATCTGTGTACACATTTTAGTTTTTATTTGAAGAAAGAGGCACACAGTTTAGATCACTTAGATGAAGCCTGGTATTTAACGTTTGAATGCAATCACTTCTTACACCTGCTGGGAACCTGGAGTGAAAAATCAAGAATAGTTCATTTCACTGATATTTAATGCAAAGGGGGCAGTGTTACGACGAATTATGCCTCAACACTGTATGAAGCTTTTATTTTAGACTCCGAAATTAAGATCTCTAATTGTTTCACTATACAAGTTAAAAGGGGGCTTTGTGTTTGTCGTGATTTTCTGTCACGTAGGTATGTGCAGTTGTGGTAAGAAGATGACATCCACTCACTATGGGTATGAATTTCATGGTAATTTGGGGATTTTAATGATTTCTTTTAAATGTTTTTGGTTTGTTTTCCCAGGATTGGACAATTCAACGACATAAATCTTTAGTGGCTTCAAAAAACAAAACAAAAAAACACACAAGAACTGGGTGCACAAGTTAAAATTTATTTTGGATTTTCTCTAATCCGCATTGTCAAAAGTATATTTACATACAGCCCCACTAATTTTTGGTTAAGTGTCTTTTAGCAAGTTGGACCACAACCATATACTTTTAGTAGCCATCACAAGCTTCTGGCATAATTCTGGCTGGATATTTGACCGCTCTTCTTGGCACAATTGGTAGCATTTATTTCAATTGGTTGGTTTCCTGGTACAGACCAGACTTTGAAGCATAGCCCACAAACTTTCAATAGGGTTGAGGTCAGGGTTTGGGAAGGTCGTTGTAGAAGTACAATGTTAGCCTGCTTTATTCGTTCCAGAACAACTTTTGATGTGTGCTGTTGGATCATTGTCCTGTTGGAATACCCAGCTGTGTCCATTTTTCAAACATCTAGCTTTTGACTTGAGGTAAATTAGAAGAATTGGGAGGTAGTCCCCCTTCTTCATTATTCCATCCACTTTGTTCGATGTACCACTACCACTTGTACCAAACCAGACCCAGAGCACGATGTTATCACCACTGTGCCTGACAGTTGGTACAGTGTTCTTAGGGTTTGAAAGCGTCACCTTTACTACTCCAAATGTACCTCTTGTCATTGTGGCAAAATAACTCAATCTTTATCTTGTATGGCCATAAAACATTTGGTAGACTTGCAAATTTAAGTCAAGCTTGAAGGTGCTGATTTTGGAGCACAGGCTTCTTTCTTGGTCAGCTCCCTTTTAGCCCATTTTAATGTAAAACTTGATTCACCAATGGATAGCGGCACTGGTATTCTAGCAGTTTCCAATTCATGGCAGATTTGACCCTTGGTGGTTCATGGTGGTGATTGTTCCTGAACATCATGAACAATTTCCTCTTATCTGAGGGTGATAATTTGGGTCTTCCTACAGACCATGGCATTGGTATGTCCAAATAACTTGTATTTATGTACAGTTGTTTGAGCCAAAAATAAAGCTACAAGTTTCCTTCTTGGATGTTCACTGAGGCAACTGGACGTTCCTATTGTTCGGAGTATTGATCAATCCAACAAGTTCTGTCAAACAAATTAATTTTTGTGCTGGCAAAGAGAATTAACCTGTTATAGTCAATCACGATCACTAACGGGAAGTTAATAGGTCTTGGCCTCAAAGAAATCATTAAAAGCCCATAACTACTATAATGTTCATGCCCATCACGAGTGGATGTCAGCTTCTGACAACAACTAGTTATATGACAGAAAATTATGGACAACATGAGACCCCTCAAAACCTATATAATAAAAAAAGGTGTAAATTAATCTACAACTGAATACAAGACAGGAATGACTTATTTTACCACTCAAACAGCCAGTTTCAAGCTATACATCCAATGCTCTTCATACAGTTAAAACCACATGCCAGCCTTTTTGGTTTGTAGTTTCATGCACAGGTAACGAAAAGCAATGTGTTTATCCCTACTGTAACTGATGCAGTCTTTGATGCCTAAAATCTGGGATATGGTCACTTTATGATTTATATATAGGAAATAGCTTTGCCTTCTTTTAATAGTTTTTCTCAAAAATAAAGTATATATATATTATATTATATATATATATTATATTATATATATTATATATATATATATATATAATATATTATATATATTATATATAATATAATTTTTTTTTATTTTTTATTTATTATTTTTTTGGTTAATATATATATATATATAATATATTATATATAGGCCACACACACGAAGCTATTTGCAGCTCAGGTATTTTGTTTGATCTAATTCAGATTCTCACCCTTTATATCCTGGCCAGTCAATTTTAAATTGATGTTTTTTAATGCAAAATTGATTCCAAAGAGATTGTAAGTAAAATCTGTATAAAGCTACACAGATTCACACACACTTTTGGGACGTCTTCTAAATTACGCGGATAAACAGTAAATCTATTTCTATTGATTTCACTGCTCAGGGTTGGTCTCATTAAATATCTCTGTTAGTGAGCATGATGTGAACATGATTGTTGTATCTTCTCTGTTGGCGAGAGTGTGCATTCTTTCAAGGTGGAAGGATTCTCTGTGCCCAACATCTGGCTAGTAGATTAGAGGGGTTATATGTTATATTCATCTAGAAAGAAAAGATCAGGTACACCATCAGAAGAGCTGCTGGGAAAGTCTAGGTTACCTGGCAACCATTCATATCCTTTGTTGAAAGCATTGCAGCTGTTGTTATTAACACATAAAATGACCATTATTTTTTTATATATATGATTGAGTAAATATGCTAACGATGTCTGACTATGTCTGACTATATCAAGGACATGTGAGAGAGTGGAAGACGGCGCTAGGTATCATGGCATGCCATCTCTCGCTTCTCTTGGTTCTGAAATATTTATGTTACCAGTTTTTAAGTTGTATTTTTTTCTGTATAGTTTTTATTTATTTATATATATTTTTTATCTTCAAATAGCTGTTCAGCACTTTACAAGTGCTTCATAAATAAAGTGATTATTATTATTATTATTATTATTATTATTATTATTATTATTATTATTATTATTAACATAATCAAACGGGTGGTAAAGGTCTGATTTTTTTAAAATAAAATATAATGTTTAATAAATTGTAATAAGAAAAATCTAGGAAAAATAGTAAGGGCACCATGGTTATACCATAGTTATTACAATGTCTTTTGTTTTGTTTTATATATACATCACATGCCATATCTTGGAAGATGTTTAGCCAAAGTTTCTTTTTTGACATTATTACAGAGTTACAGCAGCTTCACCAAGTACCACAAAGCAGTTGTTTCGTACTCCAAAAAAAAAATAAATTCGACTTCAGTGTGCTTTCTGTGTAACATTCACATTCCGACGAAAGCGAGTGGAGCAGCCAGGGTTCAAACCACCAACCTTGCAGTCAGTACATGATCTGCTCTAACCTCCTGAGCCACAACAGCCCTCTATATGTTAACTTCATTGAACTTGATTTGCAACATAAGAATGAAAAGGTTTGCAAGTCACACAAGGTAAAAATTCTAAGGTTGTAATTTTCAATTTCCATGTATTTCAAATAGGGTTAAAGGTCTCCGAGGGATTTCCATTCTAAGCCTAATTTTTCAGCTTTGCACCACTGGGAGGTGATGTTGTACAACTTTTAAATGTAAAGAAAACGCCTGCTTGCTCATTTGATCCACAGATAGTTGACCAGACAGTAAATCAAGGTAGCCAGATAAGCTGGAAACGCCTTGTCACATTTCTTAGGTTTTTAAAACACCTTTAGTGTTTT